GACTTGATGGGAGGGGGAAGTATCATTATAGCACTAGGCTTCTGAACTTATTAGCAGATGTGATAATTTGCTCTGCTTCTTCAAGGGGGAACAAATAGTCAGGGTAATGTACCATCACTTTACTGCCAATCTGAGCATCTTCAATATGTGAGCATCTTTATTATGCCAAAAATTATTCAAGAATGCTTTTAAATGATAAAAATGAAGGCAGCCTTATAACACATCTTTTCAGCAACGTTCTCTCTCTCTCTCCCTCTCTCTCACACACACACACACAAAGAGAGAGAGAGAGAGAGAGATGGGGGCTTTTCAGCAACGTTCTCTCTCTCTCTCCCTCTCTCTCACACACACACACACAAAGAGAGAGAGAGAGAGAGAGATGGGGGGTTGCTTTTAGTAATAATAAACCTGGAGCAGAGTTTTGTGAAATTCAGAGTTAAGTGCATTTGTAATCTTAATTGGTTCCTGTTAAAAGAGGTCACTGAAGACATTTATATTAACAAATAGTAGAAGTAGCCGCTAGAGGGCAACCATGCACTGTGTAAACAAAATCCTCAGAATTTGCTTGCTTAGTTTTCCTTGTTATTTATTACCCACCTAAGCATTCATTTTTTGGGTATGCTTCCTGAAGTTGCCTTTCTGGTGGTGCTCCAACAACTTGACATTTTGTGTGTCTGTCAACAGGACTTTCTTTCTGCAGGAACACACCAGAACGGAGTTCCAGAACCAATTTTAAAAATTCCTTTTAAAATAATTCAAAGTTCATGAGTTTTCAGTATACAGATTGAAAAATTCATTTCCTTCCTGAGAGTTCTGGCACCTCTTTAAAAAAAAAATAAAGCCATGGTCAATCATACCATACAAAGAATTGTGCTCACATTATGCAATTTGTCAAGAAAATCTGATGCAGAACATCACCCACCCAGACTTAGGGCCAAACTAGATGTGAGGGTGTCCTTGTGGCCACCATGCAGATGCCACCACCATTTTAAAATGCCATGAGAGCACCCACAACATGGTAGGCAGAGGCACTCTTGCCCCCCACCCCCCCACACACACACCCCATAGCTGTTTTGGCAATTGAAATGGCCCCATGAAGGGGTGGGAAGTGCCATGCTTCAGGCTGAAGATTGGGCCCTTGTGGCATTTTTTAATGATGTTTAGATTTTTCATTACAGTCGGCAGATTCTTGCAGAAAGCGTACTGAGCTTGTCTTGCAGAGCAATGAGGGTCAGTTTTTTCTACTTTGCAACGGAAGATACATAAAGCACTTTGTTATTTTGTAACCACTTACCTTCTGATAAAGCATTTTGTCTGTTCAGTACATTTTGTCTCCCCCACCCATCCATCTACAGCTACTCGAAAGAGGGATCAATTATTATTATTCATTATTTCAAAAGCATTATAATTCCACTTTCAGCAAGAATGACTCTGAGTTGTATCACTTTCTTAAGGAAGGAGCTGATCTGGCCACTTTGAAACAATTCTTGCCTCATTTTTGTTGCTGTTTTTGATTATTCTTAAAATCATAGAATGTACAGTTGGAAGGAACCTTGCAGGTCATCTAGTCCAACCCCCTGCACTCAGCAGGAGCATAACCAAAAGATAGCCCTACAACATACCCGAAAGGTGGTCGTCCAGCCTCCGCTTGAAAACGTCCAGTGAAGGAGCATCCACCACCTCCCGAGGCAGACTGTTTCACTGCTCAATCACTCTTACAGTTAGGAAGTTTCTCCTGATATTCAGCCAGTATCGACTCCCTTGTAATTTCCACCTATTAGATCTAGTCTTGCAATCCGGAGCAAGAGAGAATAGAGCCGCTCCATCTTCTACATGACAGCCCTTCACATACTTGAAGACTGCAATCATGTCCCCTCTAAGCCTTCTCTTTCCCAGGCTAAACATACCCAACTCTTTCAGCCTTTCCTCATAAGACTTGGATTCCAACCCTTTCACCATCCTGGTTGCCCTCTTCTGGACACGCTTGAGCTTGTCAACATCCTTCCTAAAATGTGGAGCCCAAAACTGGACACAGTACTCCAGGTGAGGCCTGACCATAGCAGAATAGAGCGGAACTACCACCTCCCGTGATCTGGACACAGTGCTTCTGTTAATGCATCCTAAGATTGCATTAGCTTTCTTTGCAGTCACATCACACTGCAGGCTCATGTTTAGCTTGTGATCAACCAGAACACCTAGATCCCTTTCACATGCACTGCTGTCAAGCCAAGTCCTTCCCATTCTATATCTGTGCCTTTGATTTTTTGTACCTTTTGGAACAATATATCATTTATATGCCATTGATATACAAATTTTTTTTGCAAAATGTGTTTAATTTTAGCAGGGGAAAAATGTGGCAAAAGGAAACAGAAAACTCACAGATTCATTCTCACAAGTGGGAAGGAAAGCCAAAAGTTACATCTAGATATGAGCAAATTGCTTTGTGCTGTGTTTTCAGTTTGGTTGTGTATTACATAGAAATATTGATTATATTGACCTTCAGAACTCAAGTAATTTCTTGACATCAACTAATTCTCTCTTTCTCACAGACCCACAGCCATATGAGAGTCACTTCACCTGAAAGAGTCCCATGCTGCTGCAGGTATCTGAATAAACCAAATGGGTGGGACCAATCCTGCGGGGCCCTCTCACTCCCTCAGTCACCATTTCACTGTGAAGGAGGGCAGTCATTGTTGGGTACGATCCCACCTGTATTCTCATGGACAAACCCATATATTGGAACTGCATGAGGTAGGATCACAAAGAGGCAGTTCGTGCAAACGCAGAGGTGTGGAGGGAAGAAAAGCCACGGACAGAGGGCTTAGTTATTCATTCATGTAGGTATTCAGTTCTAACCCCATTTAATGCATCTGATGAATTAAGAGCATAACTAGATGCTACAAACTGTTCAAGTTCACCATAGGTACTTAACAGCTATACTGTAGCTGCTAGTTCCCAAAGTCAGCTCACAAGTAAATGTGCAGCAGGATCCAATTCAAATCACTCCCAACTAAGCAAATAATGCTCACCCTGTGGTCCTTGGGTTGTTTTAGCCCAGGGGGGCCACAAAAACAGAACAGAGAAGGCACAAATTCCTCTTTCATTGGCTCAAATGAGGCAGGCCCGTCTGATGGCCAATCAGACCCTGCTGCAAGTCTGTTCATGAGTTGTCACTGGGAACTAGTAGCTATAGTATAGCTGCAAGACCCTATGGTCAACTGTATGGTTCATAACCAGGCTTATCAAGTACTTACCATGATTCAGCGGGGGACACATACTTCTTCCCAGGACCATTCCCGCGCAGACAACAGACGCGCCGCACCATGCTGTCACCAGGAAGTGACGCCGGGCAACGCTCTGGCAATGGGGCTGGAAACTCAATGGTATCATCGAGTTTTCAGCCTCATTGTCAGAGCGTTGCGGAAGCATCACTTCCAGGCGATGGCCTGATGCGTTACAGGGAGGAATGTTCCGGCAGGGGATCATGTGTCCCCTGCTGAATCGCGGTAAGTACTTGGTAACCCTATTCATAACATCTAGTTAGGCTCTAAGTCCTTGTCTATGGTGCATGAGCTTTCAAAAACAGCTTAAGACTGGGAGTGGAAAGGGTGATCCATGTGCTTCCTCAGAAACCACCCATGGTACACAGCAAGCTATTCTTGAAACTAAGGGGAGTTTCAAAAGCAACTTATAATTGGATGTGAGTTTCTGTTTTATGAGGAAAGTTTTAAAACCCTACCATGTACAAAGTCTTGTGTGCCCCTCCTCCAGGAGATCTTGGGCTCCCAGCATTTTTGTTGTTACTCTTCTGGAGTAAAATTAAAGAATCACATGTGGGACTAAACATATGCTCCATGGGAACCAATACTACCCCAAAGAAATCCAGATTTTTGCCCATGAAAATTCAAGAGAATTGTAAAGATTTGCCTAAAATTGGCTTTCACTTGTAACCAATTTGTACTGAACTGCAGGTTTTTAGTCCTTGTGGAGGTCTCTGTTCATGCAGTTGCATAGAATAAGACATCTCCTGCCTAACCTCTGAAGGAAAGTTTATTCAGAGCTATCCCCCCCCCAGTTTCCTTATCAAATGCAGTTTGAAAAGGGTTGTAAATAGGTTATGAAGACAAGTGCTTCATTTGTGCAGTATCGGAGCCAATCTTTGCCACCTTAATTTAAATCTTTTCCTCTGAGGTTGCTTTCTTTCACTTTGTTCTCAATGACACAGTTGGAAATTAATGCTAACAGCCTCACATCCTTTGATCATTTATCAGAGAAATCATTTAGTAAAAAACATTTAGCTAAATATCAGAAGAACAGAACATCAGAAACAAAATGCTGATAACTTCACTCTGATACAACAAACGGGAGAAATTTGCTCATGCTGAGGGCACCCTTGAAAAAGCATCACAAGGAGACCCACAGAAAATCTGCCTGACAGATCAATACACAGCTGACACAGTTGTTTGCAGAACATCTTCAAGAGGACATCAGCTGCTAGTTGATGGACATATGGCATTTCTGTGATGCAAACTGGTTTGTGACAAAGAACGGTCATTTTGCAGATGATCGGCAATTAACAATGCTTTGAACCACTGATTTTGGAGTCATACACATAGCAGAGCAGGAAAAGCCCGTTGGAGTGCTTACACCAAGTGCATTCATTCCATTCCGCCCTAAGCCAGCAGCAGAGAATCTATAATCAACCTTTGTGAGCAGTGCAGATCAATTTATGTACCTCAGTAGTTCAGAATTCTCTCGTATCATAGCAGAAAGAACAGTTTTCAGTGGCCAACCAAAAGTTAATTTTTGCTCTGCATCTTTGGTTGTGCCGTTTTACTTTAGAGGAGTCTTGGCAGTTTTCAAAGTGCGACAAGTCCTGTTTCGCCAGCTGACTGTTCTAGCCATATATTTTAATACCCTCTCTTATCAATCTCATACATTCCTGACCATCAGCCAAAATCTTCCAAATGCACACATTTGCCTTAAATATGGGAAACATAATATAACTGGGCTCTTTTTCTTCGTTTCTTTTAGAGAAATTAATAGCCACTGCTGTAGTACATTGACATTTCTCTTCACAATCATGAGGACTAGAAATCTTTCTATTGATATCAAAGCTGAGATTCTCAAAACTCTAACATGAGCTCACAGCATGTGAAGGTGCCTCAGGAGCAGTTTGTTATCTTCCCGTAGAACATATAGACACTGCTAAATATAAATTTTAGAGAACTGTTGGCTTGTAAGTTCATAGGCTTCATTCCCATTATTCCGCAGTGGTTCTTTTTCATCTGCTGTGTCCATGTCTTTCATCTGTGGAAAATATGCAGGAGATGCTTTGCATTCATAATGCCTGTCGAGGGATTTCAAGTGTATCAGCATGTGGAGGGCATAGGCCAGAACAAGAAGCAGAATCAGAGACATCACCAGGCCCATCAGAATTGCTGGCGGGAATAAGGAGGCACAGTCTTTTGCGTAAGCAAACTGTCCATCTTCAATGTTAAATCCTTGGATCTATTAAGCAGGAAAAAAAAATGTGAATTAAAAATCTCCCTTGTCTTGGCCAAAGACATTTTAATCCCTATTGCTAATGAAGACCTGAATGGTTGTATAAGGCAGGGCTTTTTCTGTAGAAAAAGCCCAGCAGGAACTCATTAGCATAACATGCCACACCCAACAGCTGAAACTCATTAGCATATTTGGCCACACCCTGTCACCACCACTCATTAGCATATTAGGCCGCAGCCCCGTGTTGCCAAAAGTGTGGTCATCCAGCCACACCCACCTTTTGCCTCTTATTCTGTTTACCTTGTTTGTTGTCAAAACCCAGGGCCTTTTTTTGTAGCAGGGACTCCTTTGCATGTTAGGCCACACACGCCTACTGTAGCCAATCCTAATGAGTTTCTGCTGTTGGGTGTGGCCTATTATGCTAATGAGTTCCTGCTGGGTGTGGCCAACTCAGGATCCAGCCGGAACTCCGTTCCTGTGCGTTCCTGCCCAAAAATAGCCCTGCTATAAGGCACCGGTGTTTGCATTCCCCTGGTTTGAACTGACTGCTGCTGACGCAAGGAAACTGTGATGAGTTGATTTGTCAGGAAAGAAACATTTGCAGAGTTCTTCCTGTTTGGAATGGATCAATGTTCATGTTCAAGAAACAGCCAAGCCGAGACCCTCTCCTCAATGCCTTTTGGACCAATCCAGGCGGGGGCAGCCGCGTTGGTCTGGAGCAGCAGAACAAAGTTTGAGTCCAGGGGCACCTTTAAGACCAACGAAGTTTCATTCAAAGTATTTCATTTCTCCAAAGATGTCATTTCATTGTGTCTGATGAAGTGTGCTCGTACACAAAAACGTATGCTTTGAATAAAACTTTGTTGGTCTCAAAGGCCCCACTGAACTCAGTTCTCCTTTTGGACGGACTGCACCGTTCTGGCTCATTTGTCTGTCATTCAAATCCTGCCATCTTACCTTCCACGCAGCCTGTTAGGCCAGTGGGAGAAAGTTTGGGGGGGCAGGTCTAAAGGCTGGGATATTATTCTGTTACAATGCAATACCCATAATGCAGTTCAAAGCCGAGTTAATCCTTCGAAGTGCACTAAAATGTGCCACCATCTTTGGCAGGATAAGACAGGGCCAGAATTATGGAATTTGACACATACATACACACACCCCTGTGAAGGATGACTGATATCTTCCATCTTAGTTTTCAGGAGGGTAGTATAAACCACTCAAGTACTAGGGTTAGTCTAAGGTTTGTGTATTGGGGCATGATTTGGATAGCAGTGCTGGGTGATATGCCTTTGGGTCTATTGTTCTGTATTGCTCTCAACAGCTGATCTGTTGTTTTAGAAGTACTATTTCATGTTTTTATGTGGCACTGTATTACCACCTGTGGGCATTTGTTGTGACTTTTGTGCTATTGCACAGGCAATAATCTGTCACTGGATGGGCAGACAAGAGAACACACCTTACCTGTCTCAATGCCATTGCCAGACTCTGAGATTTCCCTACCCATGAACAAGAGTCCCACAGATTTCTGTTGCTAATGCCACAGGTTATCCAATCAAACTTATGAAGTAAAATCACTACCAGCATACAAACTGAAGGAATTCCTACAGGACCTGATCAGAGACTAACAAGCCATGCAATTGGACCATTAATTTTACCAGGCTACCTTCCAACTACATTTAAATACACAAATCAAAACTGAAGTCAAATCAGTGTTCACAGTTCACACTTTAAGTAAGAGGCTATTGAAACTGGAAGAGAAAAGTAGGGCATGTGACAATAACCCTGCTAATCATCTGAGAGGCGGCACTTCAGCTAGAGGTCATGCACTAACATGGAAGCCCCAATAGCCAACCACAGAGTGGCCAAGGAAGAAAGCAGATCATAGATAGCTGAAAAACAAGAATGTGAATAAATCTGTCTGCAGCAGCTCAGTAAGCTTGGGACCTGAAATAGTCTCCCTAAGAAAGCTTGGTTAGATTCTTAATCAGGATGAGGATGTCCCATGAACATGACACCATCAGATCCTTCTTCTTCAAGACAGAAAAAAGAGGAGGGGAGAAGAATGAGGATGCCCAGGACTGGAGCCCCCCCCCCCGGTGGAAGATGAAGTCATGGCTCATTTTTGGGTGGCCAACTCAACAGGTCAGATGCCTGGAGCAATGATGCCTCTCTAGCTGGCCTGGGGAAAAACAGACTGATACTGCAGCTGAGATTGCCATCACATGGGAGTAGGATCTCTCACAAGAGGTCAGCATGCTCCACAGGGCATGCGTAGCTTATTCTCTATGGTATAAAAGGGCTGGGTGGGCGGCCCAAGGATGGAGAGATTATCTGCCCACTCCCCACAGTCGAAGACAGGCAGTGAGAAGAAAGAAGAAGACATATGCGAGCAAGTACTTCCTTCTTCTGGTCACAAAAGGAACAGCCAGGCTGGAACTCCAAAACAGCCCACCTGTCCCTGACAGGAAACACCTACAGAAGTGGTCTGTGGGGGGTCTATCCAGCAAGAGATGCTGGATAGTAACTCCGGACCTCTTGCAGAAAAGCAGCAGTCCTTTCTGGTCTGCAATACCTAGACTCTAGCAGCTGTCAGTATAAATGAGTACAAGCCTTGGATCAGATACAACACAGGTATCATATTTGATAACTGCAAATTACAACTGCAGCTTCAAACAAATCAGAATTACTTGTTGTACTTTACAACCTGAGTGATTCCTCCTTGGCTAAATTGTCTGTTCTGTTGGCTTTGCCCTCTCCTCCCCTGCACCCTTAGCCTCATAAGGAGATAAGAGTCAGTAACAGGCATTATATCCTCTCCTTAGCTGACCTCAGCAACTGATCTGTGGAGGATGCAATGTTCACCGAACAGTCCCCAAACCACTTATACTGTCAATGAGATAAAAGTTTATGCTACACATTAGGGGAGAATGTGTCTTTCCCACCGAAATCAGCAGCCCCAGTTGAGGTTCCTTTCCTTTCACTGGAGAGGGGCTGTGGCTCAGTGGTAGAGCATCTGCTGGGCCTGCAAAATGTCCCAGGTTCAATCCCCAGCCTCTCCAGTTAAAGGATCTGGCAGTAGGTGATGTGAAAACCCCTCTGCCTGAGACACTGGAGAGCTGCTGCCTGTCCGAGTAGATGCTACTGACTTTGATGGACCAAGGGTCTGGTTCAGTATAAGGCAGCATCATGTATGTGTGTATGCACTGTAGAGTTTAGTTAGGGAATGTGTGACACATGATATCACCATGATATGTGACATAATGTCACCATGTTGTGCATTTCTCTGCTCTTCCCCCAGCAACATGATGCCATATCATGTGTTTCTCTAACTAAAGGGTACAAGCAAGAAGCTGAAGACTCAGACGCACAGCTGCCATGTTGGACAGTAAAGGCACATTCTGTTACAAAGGCTAGTCTAGTCTATGATGGTAACTACCATTAAAGTTAGTAGGATTTACTTCTGACCAACTGTGCTTACAAGCCAAATTAAATGTAAGTAGTTTCTAGATCACTCTATTATTTCCTTCTTCCTTGACTGAAGACGACAGGCTGTTATTTAAGAATACAAAAACCTACACAAAGATTTTGGAAAAGTCACTGATAGCCAGTTTGCATCACACGCCATGTCTCATAAGAGTCATCAACAAACACACGCACAATAGAAAGCAACGTCTTTATGAGTTCCTCTGAAGCTGGCCTTCAAGAATAATATTTCAGTTGTTCTCTCATAATCTCTCAAATGACAAGTGCAAGAATTGTCTTTCCTGTTTAATTCCTACCTCTTATTTCATTCTTGGAGTTCCCTGTAATTTTCTCACAATAAGTCATTAAGCATCCTTGATAACACACACAGAGAGAACTGTTCCTATAAGGACCCGCTAAATTTGCTTGGTTTTGCTTTTGCCATATTACCTGAAAGTCAATAAAAGTGACTTCCCAGAGCCTGGCTGCATCATTTGTAGAGCTGGGTGTCAGCAGTGCATCATATCTCTGGAGGTTGCTAACATGTTCGCAGTGATAGGAATAACTTGCTGGAGCATGTATTCGGGTTGCATTGAATGTCGCTTGTACAGAATGGTTGTATATGAGCTGGATTCTATGCAAGGTAAACCAATTTTGAATGGACAGCTTGTAGTAACTGTTTGTAAGCATAAATCTAGGGTAAACAATCAGAAAACAGGAGAAAATAACAACAGTTTCAGTATATGTTACTTTGTCCCAAGGGGATTCACCAAATTAATTTCATCTTTGTATAGGCTGTTCCCATCAGGCCAGAAAATATCCTGTTTCCTTCTACCATCAGCTCCTCTGAAGAACCTTCCCATGATGCAAGCACCCAGGAATCGATAAGATAATGCCAAAGCAAAGATGGAGAAGGAAGTTGTTTCCTCCATGTAGGTCTTGCTAGCCTTCCTACTAATCTCTCTGAACACCACTCCATCATTTCTCTATTAAGTGTTCAATAGCACTGGTAGCATTGATTGTATAGGAATGTTTGTTTTTAATGCTTTAAAAACTGCAACCTAGAAAACATAAGAGAAACACAAATCTGATGTTTAATTTTGCTTGGTTTTCATCCAATGCATTAAACCCATACTAAGTACCCATTAGAAGTACCCATTCTAACCTCTTTCAAGTATTTGTTCCATAGGAAGGCTGTTGAGAAACACTGAAAGTTGTTCATAACCCACCCAGCATCGAATGGAGTTTCAGTACAACTGGGGGGGATAAATCCAGTGCTAACAGTGGCTAGCCCAATCTCATCAGACTTCAGAAGCTAAGCAGGGTCGGCCCTGGCTAGTATTTGGATGGGAGACCTCCAAGAAATATCAGGGACATGAAGAGGAGGCAGGCAATGGCGAACCACCTCTGAACATCTCTTGCCTTGGAAACCCTACAGGGTCACCATAAATCAGCTGTGACTAGATGGCACTTTCCAACACCAATAATTTCTGACATTCCTCATAAAATTTATCCATGAAACGCTCAATGCTGAGATACTGTCAGCCAAAGTTAAAGAAATATTAAACCTCATATACATTTATTTATGCCCTGACCTGGATAGCCCAGGCAAGCCCGATCTTGTCAGAGCTTGGAAGCTAAGCAGGGTTGACCCTAGCAAGTATTTGGATGGGAGCCCGCCAGAGAATACCAGGGCAGGGAGACCAGAGGCCTCTTTTCTGAATGTCCCCTGTGCCCCAGTAGGAGATGCCAGAAGTCATCATGACTCCCAGGCATAGGCATGAACACACACATACACACAAATGCAAAAATCCCCCCAAAGAAGATATATTTATTTATGTTAGGGAAATCCTTCACTCTCCCACCGAAAGAAGAGGGGATAGAGTGCTGAACTCTGCCTGGATGGAGCTACAGGTGTTTGGACTTCGATGGGATCCTTGACCCTAAGGGGAAGGTTTCATAGCCTAAAGGGGCTCCTCAGTGATCACTGATTCTTGATTCTTAGATGGCAGCTGCAGGCTAGAGTGCTTCCTACCAACTCTGGTTGGTTTTCCAGCTGAACCTTCTACTGGGTAAAATTGATCTAGCCATTGCCATTCATACCCTGGTAATTTCCAGATTAGACTACTAGAATATGATTTACATGGAAAGACAAAGAGTTGGTTTTTATTCTCCACTTTTCTCTACCCTAAGGAGTCTCACAGTGTCTTACAATCGCCTCCCCTTCCTCTCCCCACAACAGGCACCTTGTGAGATAGGTGGGGCTGAGAGAGTTTCTCAGACAACTGTGACTGGCCCAGGTTTCTCCGCCTTCATGTGGAGGAGTGAGGAATCAAACCCAGTTCTCCAGGTTAGAGTCCATCACTCTTAATCACTACACCACACCGGCTCCATTACACCACACAAGACCCTTGAAGATTGTTTAGAACCTGGAGTCCGTATAGAATTACTTCGATTGCCAATTGATGGATGTAGCTTAGTGAGAACAAAGCTTGTTCCAGGTCCTATTTAGGTGCTGGTTATGACCTTTAAGTCCTATGCGGTTGGCCTAAGTATCACAGGGCATGAATTCTATGAGGGCTATTTCCAGATTCAGTCTTGTAGGGAAGAGAAAATGGTTGTCTACCAGAAACAAGGCATCTTCTGTAGTAACCCAGATTTAGGGAATGTGGTTTCCACAGACATATGTAGGTATCTCGACAGTCTCTTTCTGGAATCAGGAGAAAACTTTTGTTCTGAGACATTTGAGAATTAACTGGAGGTGTGTTTTTTACTGTTGCTTTTAGGTCATTCAACATCATTGTATTGTATTGTTAGATTTACTTTATATTTCTAAATGTTTGTAAACTGGCTTGTGAACATTGTCATATAAAAGGAGTCCAGAAACATTAAAATTAAATAAGATTGTAGATTCAGAAAAAAAATTATTCCTATCTGAAAACTTACCTGATAACAAATCCCTTCAAATTGTCAACATCACCAAAATTAAGGGAAAGCCTATGGCAAAAAACAAAAAGCCAGTTTAGATGAAAAAGTGTAAAACTGTACAAAATAGGAGACACAACTAAATTTATATATAACAAGGTGTCTAATACCGTTATACAATCTAGAATTTTTACACCCATATTGAAGTTTTGAACAAGCTTCAGTACTGCTCATTCTGTCCTCACTATCTCAAGAGATCACAGGATAGAGCAAAGCTTTGGCCTGAGTCCCTGGAGAGATGTGTTACCCAGATTATTTCAATCAGGGCTAAGAACAAAGGGCTGAAAGTGACCCCCCTTATGTTGTTGAACCAACTCATGGAGCAAAAACTCTTAGGTTTTAGGATTATTAAATGACCTTGGATGCACTGAACCACAAGTGGAGTTCCAGTCACAGAATGTGGCTTTCCTGCCAGACGTTTTTTGTTTCTTCCCTGAAAAATTATTCTTGAGGATTGGGGAACAGGATGGACATGGCTCAAAGGAATATAGTAGGAAGGACGAATCAGCGGAAATCCCCCCAATAGAAAAGAGCCCTTTTCATTCAATGGCAAGACTTCATGAGATAGGAATAGCATGTAGACAATATATCACCATACCAACCTAGGAATCAGTCATTAAGGATCATTAATAATGGATAGAATCATAGTCTCTAATGAACTAGGTACAAAACCTAAGCTGTGAATCTCATCAACAGCTGTGCCTGTCTACATTGAGACTGAACCATAAATGTTCCTGTTATTTTTATTTATTTACTTACTTCATTTAAATCCCACCTTTATCCCCAATGGGGACCCAAGGTGGCTTGCATAACTCTCCTCTCCTCCATTTTATTCTCACAACAACAACCCTGTGAAGTAGATTAGGCTGAGGATGTATGACTGGCCCAAGGTTACCCAGCAAGCTTTGATGGCAGAGTGGGGATTTGAACCTGGTTCTCCCAGATCCGAGTCCAACACTCTAATCACTACACCACACTGGCTCTGTTATGGAGCAGTATGGACACACCCAGGTAGGATGTGCCAGTTTACTCTCTGGCTCTGCCTTCCCCCTCAGATGACACTCAACAAAAGTGTCAAAGTGGGCAGTCTACTCCATCCCTGTCTTGACAGAGTGCTGCACTGTCTTCTTGATTAGAAACATCTTTCCAATGCCCCCCTTAGGACATAAGTCTTGCCAACCTTGTGACCTCCTGAAATGAATCTGAGGCACTGACAGTCCTCCATTCCCCCCTGGAAGATATGGAGCAATTCAGGCCCACACAGTACAGACCACCTCAGCTCCCAGGATAAAGACTCTGGAATTCATGATATGTCATGTTGCATGGGAACATGCCCAACATACCACATAAACATGGTTGCTTGGACATAATTCTGGATTCTGTGCCTATATGTGCTTGTGTACACATACAGCCTCCAAGCACTACTACCAAGAACAGGTTTTTTGTCAATATCATTACTGGATCAGTGATGGGGAAGGGCACAAACTGTCTCTCAAATCTTTGTTCATTACGAATTTTAGCCAGTTCATGGTTCACGAACTGCAGCCTGGCCATGAACCTCCCTGAACTTTTAAGGCAGTTCGTGGAGGCTCATGGGGAGCAGAAAGCAGGGGTTGAAACTCCTGCTTTCTCTCCCCACAAAAGCCACCAAACAGCTGAGCAGCAGTAGCAGACTGCTCCCACCGGCTCAGCTGTTTAAATTGGAAGCAGCTGCTCCACACTGCTCAGCTGTTTAAAGGGGCTTTCTTGGGTAGCGAGCCCCTGGGACTGGCTGTCCAAGAAAGCCCCTTCGAACAGCTGAGCACTGGAGTAGTTTGCTCCATGTTTCCACAAATTTCCACAGGAAGCAGAAAGCAGTGGCTTAAATGGCTTGAAGCTACTGTCTGCTCCCCACGAAAAGTGGGGGGAGCAGAAAGCAGGGGTCATGAGCCCATATGAACTGGTTTGGTTCGCAAACCAACCTCCCAGTTTGTATAGGTTCATGGTTCAGATCATGGTTCAGCCATGAACCATGAATCGCAGAAATGTGGTTCATGCCCATCCCTAATCAGCAACAGAAAAAACACCACTACTACATTTTTTGAATATTTCCAGACCTCATACAGTTCAGGTTCTGAGAGGGAAATGAACAGATTTAAAAGGTAAAACAAGCTTTTATTCACAAAAACTCCACAAGAAAACCAAAATTCTTGTCTTTTGGCAAAGCTTAGTTTTGGTGGATAAATTTCTCATTTTGGCTCTTATATACAAAAAAAGACACAAACATGGATTTTTCTATGTTGCAGCTTCCCATGGTAAGACATCATCTTACACAGCATTTTCTTCACTGCAGTTTGAATCAGCAACATCTACAATCGCATGAACACCAAATGTCTTGTCTGTTAAGTCCAGCTGAGTGTGATTCTGAAACTTAATCATGATTCTTCTGGCCCAGAAAAGTATGCAAGGGCTCCCATTCACTGTGACATTAAGAGGACTGTAGTGGCTGTGGATGACGGACTCTCTCTCTGAATTCTCTTTACTGCTTACGTTGTAATTCATAACCTAAATAAAAGATCAAAATTGCAGTTAGGGCTTCCAGACAGAACAATGAATAACAGGTGCAGTATGCCACAAACAACTATTGGAAACACTCCTAATCCCCCTTACTTCAGTAATATTGGACTTCCATAAAGGATGCCACTCTCAGTGGCTTGTGGGACACACAAAATTTTAGTATTTATGTGCTACCACTGTCACCCAATATAGAGGTCAATATGGATCAGACACAATAAGTGCTGTGGTGGGCACTCAAATCCTGGCTGAAACATACAACTCATTAAGCAGACTTTGATAAATCATGGTCTCTCAATTTCACAAGATTGTCCTGGGGATAAAATGAAATGAGGTAAGTGTTGTAAAGTACGGTGTTCTGCACTGTAGAAATAGTAGAATAATAATCCTCAAATAAAGACCAAGAACCACAAAGACACAATATTCACTAATTTGGGGACAGCAAGAGGCATTGACACATGGAACTATAACTACAGCAGTGTTCTAACTTTGCAGATCTTTGCAGTATCTTCTCAGTACTTCACTCTTATTCCAGATCAACTAAGACAGACAGCAACTATTTGTGCTACGGAAACTTGGGATTCTACCTCTAGAAAGCATTCCACAGCTAAGTGATCACCAAGAGATCATATTACATCCCCAGCCCCAACTCTTTGATAACGGTTCCCAGACCAGATTCCCTTCTAAAACAAAAATCTGAAGTTCTTTTTAATTCATTTAAAACCCTCTTTAGAATGTGTTGTAATTCATAATCTGGGTAAGAGATCAGAATTGCAGTTAGGGCTTTAGAATGCCCCTTTAGAATGCCTAAAACATCATCCCTTTCCCTCCCCCAATTAATCTATGCACCATCAAGGATTTAATATGCAAAGAAAAATAAGTCTACATGGAGACTGGTATTTGTTTAGAGATTTATACCCTCTCTTATACTCTTAACTCACAAAGGGCTCCCGAGGTAGCTTCCAACATAGATTAAGAACAATAAATAATACAGAATAAAGTCATATAAAACAACCACAATACAATAAAAATAAGACACAAAATCAAAGAGAACCTGCCACAAATCAAAGCCATAAAATGAAATAAAAAAGCAGCTAAGAACACCAATAACGGATATCATCTTTAGGCCACAGGTTCATGAAATATTGTTATATGATTTAACCACCTAGCAGTTTGAAAGCAAGAAATTGCAAGTAGATAAATAGGTACCACTTCAGTGGGAAGGTAACAGCATTCCGTGCGCCTTAGTCATGCCGGCCACATGACCACGGAAACGTCTTCGGACAGCGCTGGCTCTTCGGCTTTGAAACGGAGATGAGCACCGCAACCCTAGAGTCGGATTCGACTGGCTTTCGAGCAAGGGAACCTTTACCTTTACCTTTTACTGAATTAGAACAAAGTTCAAGTCCAGTGGCACCTTTAGGACCAACAAAGTTTAATACTGGATATAAGCTTTCATGTGCATCCTAGCCCTCAAATATTGTCTTTCAATGGGCAGTAAGTTAACCTTAGATTTAATAGACACTGGACCAAATCCCTGGCTCGGTAACAAATTCACTGTTTGGGTTTCAACACATCATCATCACTATCTTTATTCAATTATACCCTTCCCTTTATCTCAATAGTTCAGACAATTAAGCATGGAGTTCCATTATGGTTTCTCATCCATGTTCTGGCCTGGTTTCAGAAACAGAATTATACCAGGTGCCCACAGCTGGTTGAAAGATAAGGCAAGGGTGGTTTCTGTGAATTTTTGGGATAGGCAAGCTGTAAGTATAAACAATGACAATTTATCAGCAGTTCCAGTACAGTGGGAATAAGCATATTAATATGATTGTGACTGCAGTCATTACAACTACAATCATTATGCAAGCACAGAAGAAGAAGAAGAGATTGGATTTCTACCTCGCCCTTCACTACCCAAGGGAGTCTCAGACTGGCTTACAAACTCCTTTCCTTTCCCCTCCCCACCACAGACACCCTGTGAGGTAGGTGGGGCTGAGAGAGCTCTGACAGAAACTGCTCTTTTTCAAGAACAGCTGTGCCAGAACTATGGCTTGCCCAAGATCATCCAGCAGATGCAAGTGGAGGAGTGGGGAGTCAAACCCAGTTCTCCCAGATTAGAGTCCACGCACTTAACCACTACACCAAACTGGCTCATTGTAGGTACGTATGTAAGAACATACTTACCTACAATGGTCTACAGTGGTGCTACTAGGTCCAGTGACAGCAGCTGCACAGCCTAGGGCTCCATGCAGAGTCTGGTAGCTGCAGCTACAAGGCCTTGGAACTGTTCTGGTGGTGGTAGCCACTCAAGTCCAGGTCTCCGTGCTGGGCCCAGCAGTGGCTACACAGTCCAGGATCAGCACTGGGCCCAGTGGCAGCCATGCTATGCATGCCAGCGCTGCTGATGCAACTGAGGAGCCACGCTGGGCATGCTGCCACCAGTGTGCAGCCCAGAAGTTATGCCAGGCCTGCTGGCAGCAGAGATGCAGGCCCAGAAGTTGGCTGGGTGCAGGCCCGATGAGAAAGAAAGGGAGGGAATCCCCACTCCACAGGTATTGTGGGCCTGCCCTTGGGGGCCTGCGAGAGCCACGGGGGCAGAATCCAAAATCCAAAAACTAAAAAAAAAATACTTGGGCAGAAGGTTAACTCATCCTGAAACCACAGCAGAAGCAGCCATTGTCAGGCTACAGGAATCTCCACCATCTTCACAGCAGTCAGTGGGGTTTCCAGAGATTAGGCAGCCAGCCACCAGCAAGCCTCTCCCTTTGACACCGAAGGCAGGGATGTGAGAGAGGGGCAGTTGATAGGGGAAGCTGAAAGGTGGGCAGGTGGCTGGGGAGATGCAGCCAAGGCTGAGTGGATGAGTTTGCTTGCGATGGGGCAGGCTTTGTCCTACACCCCACAGTCCCTGAGACCCATAGCTTCCTTTCTGCCCTATAGTTACCAGCAGTCAGAGATGCATTTGTTAACTCTCCTATGGCAGTGCTTCAGGAGGGGTGGGGGAGTGGAACTACTATAATCAGGGACAGGCAGGAGAGAGAGAGAGAAAATATGATGGGAGGGTGAATGGAGAAAGAGAAAGACAAAGTGTGTGTGAGAGGGTGCAATAGTAGGAACTGGGGGAAAGAGAATCAATGACAGCGTTGAGGAGAGAGAGGAAGAATGAAAGGAGTGAGGGAGAAAGAGGAATAGATACTATGTGTTTGATGGAAGGAGAACAAGAGAGAGATAGTGAGAGAGGTAGAGAGAGAAAATGAGAGAGGGGGTGGAAGAGAGGGAAGGAAGCAAAGGGGAGGAACGGGATGGCTGCTTCTGCAATTTTCTTGTAGGTCTCCACAGGGAGGCTTGATCTGGTTTTGAATCATGGCACTAGGCAATGGGACAGTTAACCCTTCTCCCTTAAACACCCTTTCCCCAATGTTAACCAGTTTCTGGATTTGCTGTTTTCTCTAACAGGTCAAAAAATGGGCAAATGTATGTTTTCTTGCCAAGGCAAATAGCAATCTGATTTGACTACATGTTGAGCACCTTCAAAAACATACCCAGGACCACAAATACGGCATGAGGTTCACAGAAGAAGCAGCCACATTAGAAATGATACCACATTCCAATGCACAGTCAACATCTATACTGAGATAGAGTAGAGTAATAGCTACCCTATAGAATTCAAAATGAAGGCATTGTTATCTACCCATGGAAAAACTTACAATCTACCTTTGTGGTACCTCCATACCTGTGCAATCGCTACTTGCTGTAAATTAAGTTTTGGCTTCACACCACCATCGTATCGTCGGCCTGTAGAAGAAGAAACATATCAACAGTCCAATTTTCTGCAAGGATAAGAGACTTGAATACAAAGTTCTTGTAAAGAAAAATGGTTTTTTGCTCTGTTCCGTAAAGTAAAATCTTTGGTTCAAGCTGCACAGAGGCCTGCAAGAATTTTCCCAGAGATGGTTAGAGACGGCTCAGAAGTAGATAGCACGGTGACCTTGCCAAACTGTTTTCAGCTGAGGGCAGTACCAACCACCCTTGGTGCTTCCAAGTAACACCTTCCAAGCAATTGCAATTATGGATACCTGTGTATGGGGGCAGGGACAGACCTAGCTGCAGTATGGTTTCGTTTCTCTCCCACTCTCTCTTGTCCATCAGAGAGTTACATCACCTCTCGGGTATCTCATTGGCCTAGGATCAGTCAGAGACCCTTTTCCTATAAATCTAGTTAGTCCTCACACTATGGTGCAAAGCTTGTGACTACTTGACATGACAGTATGCCAGTGGTTCAAGAGCTCACAGAATGGCATCCCACTTGATTCCTGCCTGGACTGGCTAAAATTGTGACCCTTTTGTCTTGCTGGAACTGACTGCCTCTGTTGAACCTGGAATGGTAACTGGAACCCTGTTTCTGTATGTTTAGCTATGCTGGAAAAGCTTCACTGTCTAGTCTTGTTTTAAATATTTTTGCACCTTAAATAAATAATTATATTTTTACTCTGTCCTGGTTTTTGCCTTCAATAACCTCAGAGCCTTAATCCAGAGCCTTGGCTCTTGATTGCCTACCAGCTAACCGTTTTGTCTTGGAAACTCAGACTGCTGTCCCACTCCGCAGGGCTGACTTTTCTTAAGTTCCCTGAGAAGCCAGAAGGCTTGGTCTTTCTCTCCTGGGCTGTCGGGATAGATTGAAAGACCTGGTGGCAACCTACCAAGACTAGGGTGAGTTTTAGACTCTCTCTGGTACTTTGTAACTTTGTTTTGTGATGCACTCCCCTTGTCACAAAAGTCCTTTCCCAGGGCTGGGGCTGGGACTTTTGACAGTTCTGTTGCACAGTCCACTATCACTGAAACAATACTAATAAGAAGGAATTCCGATAATAAGGAATTTCAGACTGCTGTAGTTTGTATATAATCTAATGGGAAGCTAAGAACAAAAATGGTGAGTTTATATTTTCTGTAACTTTTCAAGTCCGCCTTCCTCTTTATTTTCTCAGCTTGCAAGTTGCTTGGCAAGCCATGAGTACCTCTCATTTACTGTATCTTCTGGCAGTTCCATCCACCACAGAGCTCTTGGGTAGCATAAGAACATAAAGAAGAAGAGCTTGCTGGATGAGACCAGTGCTCTATCTATTCCAGCATGCTGTTTCACACAGCAGCCAGCCAGTTGTCCTGGGTGGGGGCAAAGAAAAGGGGCATGGAGGCCAAGGCCCTCCCTTCTTGCTGCCTCCTAGCACTACTATTCAGAGGTTTGATGCCTCTGTAGATGAAGGCTCCCTTCAATCATCGTGGCTAGTAGCCACTGATGGACCTCTCCTCCGTGAATCTGTCTCAGGTCCCGATTAGATGGGTTTTTAGATCCACGACAGGCACTTGTGCCTGGTGGATTTAAAGGTCATGACCAGACAACAACATCTGGGAAATGTGCCTGTTCTGTGACCATCCCGTTTTGCCACGCTTCGGAGCCGTACTTAAAAGATACTAGTTAAAATCTGGAGTTTTCGCTTCCCGACGGGCCAATTGCAGACTTTCCCCCGTCTGATCATTCCAGCGCACAAACCTCCCGTCGGGATGGTCTGATGTCAGACCATCCCGAGCGGGTGTCATTTTAAAAAATTCTTAGTGATATGCGCATACACGTGTAAACGCACAACAGTCGCAGAGCTCCGCTCAAACGTTCCGGACAATTTCGTGTTTCTAAATGGCCTGTGAATTTTATGAACTGCATTAATTAAAAAGGTACCTAGAGAGAGGTACCACTGGCGGTGCTTTAACCATTCAACTCCACGCATGTGTGGAAAAACAAGTACACATTGAGGCATGGATGCGCATGCGCAAACAGATTTTTTTTTTTAAAAAAAAAACCTGATTGCACGGCTCCTTCAGGTGGATGCTGTCTAGACAATCCACCGCAGAGTATGTGTGCGGTAAGGGGAACTGTCTGGTCGTGCAATGCCAGATAAAAAAGATTGGGATCAAATTACAGCCGGGCCAATTGCAGTATTAGCTGCCCGTCTGAACACACCCTAAATCTCCTTTTAAAGTTATTGGTGCTCACGGCCATCTCTACTTCCTGCTTTTCCTGCACTCTGAGTCCTGTGTGGCACTTCCCCATGGCCGTATCTCCTTGCTGACCACTCACCCTCCCATTTGGGCACACTAGTTCTCTTCCCACCTAAGGGAACAGAGGTGTGTATATGTTAGGGCACCACCGACGTTGGGGAGAAAGCAGGAGAGGTTGCAGGTGGCCTCATGTTTTCTGTTTATTAAGTTTCCTTTCCTTCAAGGGAATGAAGTCCTTCCCACTGTTCTCCCTTGTCCTTGCACACCGCTGGTGGAAATTCCATGAGTCTTTCAGTCTCAAATTACATTAGAAAAGATTCAAGGCATTTCATTGCAGACTATGAAAGAAACAAAGCATAATCTGAGTACTGTGTATGCAAAGCTAACAAAGTATTCTCTAGCTCTTTCTTTATTTCCCCCATTTTCAGAAGATAGGGAGATGCAAAGGTTAAGGTCAGATGTCCAGCCAAACCTTTTTGCACAAGTGTTGTATAAGTATGTAGGTGAATAATGAAGGAAGCAACAATCACCTGTTTTATATATTGTGAGAGAAATGCAGCACAAAGCCATGTAATATCCTCAAGCCTTGACCAGATTTTCACATGGGCAAAATATTTTTATTAGGCTTTTATTTCATGGTTTTTATTAGGAATTGTATATTAGTGACTAAGATCATCTCTATGTGATACTATCAATACACTTCATTAAAAGGAACTTTGAAACCTTACCATTTCTTTGGAGCAGGTCTTGGTCAGGGAATGCAAACCAACTGCAACAGAACAAACACACAAACAGTCAACAGGCAACTGTGTTATTTTTCAATTTGTGGACCATGTTTAAGTCAGAGAATCTCAGCGTTTAGCTGTCCTGCAATTTCAACATGCCTCATAGATAACATTTATCAAAAACAAATTGGAGTATATAGGTCTGCTTTTCCATCACAGGTATGCCTTCATGCATATGTTTTTTACAGTCCCTGAGTAGTGAAATGCTTCTCATTTTCTCTCACAGCATTCCTCATAGGAGCAAATGGAGAGCCAGTGTGGTAGGTGTAGTCGGAGTACTGAACTAGGATGTGGTCTCTGGGTGACCTGGAGCCAATAACTCTCTTCTTGCCTAACCTATCTCACAAAACTGTTGTGAGGACAAAAGAGGGAAGAAAAAAACCACGTATGCTGCCCTGAGCTCTTTAGAAAAAGGAAGGGATTAAAGTGTATAGGGCTGAAAGAACAACAACTATTCACTTCTAGGAAAGAAATCAAAGAAGTAAACCTGGTCAGCCAAGTGTCTGATTTTTCTCCCTTTATTTAATTGGACCCCATATTGCAATGGGTTTACTTGCCCACCAAACCTAAAGGATGCCAGTGAGAATCAAAACAGGGCTCTTTTTGTAGCAAGAACTCCTTTGCATATTAGGCCACACCCCCTAATGTAGCCAATCCTCCAAGAGCTTACAGAGCTCTTCTTGGCTACATTAGGGGTGTGTCGCTTAATATGCAAATGAGTACCTGCTGTACCAAATGTCAGCTATTACCACAAAAATCTATTGTGATTAACAAATCACAAATGGCCCAGAATGCTTCTATAGCTGTCTAGAGTATATCTGTGTTTCTTTAAAATAAGCTTTGTGCTCATTGACAGAGCTTTTCATTCTAGGGGCACATATTAAAGCAGGATATTTGCCACCTTCAAGATTAGTGATTATTAAAGGCCCATGTTTTGAATAGATAACTCAGAACAATTCAGAGAGAAAGCCAGAAAGTGCTCCCATGACAAAATTATGATGATTAATTATAGCAGTCTAGAAAGATAAAATAACTGGACATAGCCATGTCATATGATTTAGGGTGGCACCAGAGAACTTGATAATAAACTGATGTTCACTTTAGTAGTCCATCTCAGAGGGTGTGTAATTGGTGTGAAATATCTATTAGCTGCAAGACTGTGGGATATGTCTCTGGACAGTTGCTACAAACTCCCCGGTTCAAGCTGAATCTTAGGACAGGCTACCTGATGTCTCCCAGAAAACCACCTGAAAATGAAACCATGTTTCACACACAAGTAACAATATTCTACTCCCAGCAGGAACACATCCACAAAGTGCTAAATCTACCTCCAGAATGAAATATTCATAGCTCAGCTAGAAATCCAACAGTGAGAGTTAGCTGTGAGCCTCTGCAAAATACCACAGACTGACAGATACAATTGGCAACTTTCTGCATCTCCAAGGAGGCAAGTGGTAGACACAGCAGCAAAGAGACCTCTTTTTATGACTGTTATTTGTGTCTTTAGTATTTATAGACTGCCAGGCAGTCACTGTGGTATCTAGGAAAATAAGACGTGTTCTTTGTATTCTGCCTGCTACAAATGCTTCAGTGAATTGCCTTACAATGTGTAGATGTGCTTTGTGAACATTTTTTTCTGTTGTAAAGGAAGATTACTGTGAATTTTTGCCCTAGCATTATCAAGGATAATTTCACACAGCCAAAATCAGTCTCAAACTGGCCCAACACAAAGCTACCTTTGTACTCCAGTCCTTTCCCTGCTGGCTATAGGACTCAGAATCAGACAAGTTTCCTCATCCCATTGCTCAGGGGAAGAGACGGGCACAACACAGTGAGGCAAACAACTTGAGTGTATTTTTTAAGTAATAAGTAGTTTGGCAACAGCGTTCTGTGCACCTCGGGGTTTAGTCATGCCGGCCACATGACCACGGAAAAAGTCTTCAGACAGCGCTGGCTCTTCATCTTGGAAACGGAGATGAGCACCGCCTCCTAGAGTCAGATTCAACTAGCTTTTGAGCAAGGGAAACCTTTAACTTTACTAGTTTGGTACTAACACAAACCCTGTAATTTTGAGAAGAGTGGCCATCCTACAAGCAAAAATTAATCCCACCTACCACAAGTGTCAGTCATCCAATCCCCATGTCAGATGTTGGAAGTATGATTAGTGAATATCTAAGTAAAACAGCTTTGGCCAATGTCTACACATCTCACATATTGCCACTCAAGGCTTAATTTCAATGAACTTGTTTTTAAGCACATATTCATGGAACAGAAATGGCATTAATAGAAAACGTCATACCAATTTAGTTCACTATCACAGACACCCTTGTTATGTGACTCCAATTTCTAGCAATAGCTGAAGTGGACTGTCCTACAGGAATAATAGCATGTCGCTGTATAACACCCTAGGGCGCCTTTGTGTACAGATTTGTCATCTGTCCCTCCACTGAGTCACTGTGCTCAAATGGACCAAAATGGCCACAGCACCTACAGTTCGGTGGAGCAGCTAACCCTACATATGCACTAGATCAGTGATGGGTGTACAGATTTGTCATCTGTCCCTCCACTGAGTCACTGTGCTCAAATGGACCAAAATGGCCACAGCACCTACAGTTCGGTGGAGCAGCTAACCCTACATATGCACTAGATCAGTGATGGCGAACCTTTTAGAGACTGAGTGCCCAAACTGCGACCCAAAACCCACTTATTTATCACAAAGTGCCAACACGGCAATTTAACCTGAATGCTGAGGTTTTACTTAAAAAAAACAACTCATACATTAATTTACGATAATCCAAACAAAGTAAGGAAAGCAATCCCAAATGCTTTCACTTACTTAAAATTATTTGGCAGAGAATTCAATTCTTTAATGACGGTCTGGGCCTGGCTGGGGCAATGGCACACGTGCCAACAGAGAGGGCTCTGAGTGTCACCTCTGGCACCCGTGCCATAGGTTCGCCACCACTGCACTAGATCATGCTAGCTATGGGAGCAGGTGCTGTGACAGAGAGCAGGAAGATTTCTGGTCCTTAAATACAGACACACAGACCACATTTATTTATATTATCATATTTGTTTAAATAATCAGGAAGCTTTAAAGGGAAAATGCGTATGTGACATCATTTGGAAGAACCCCAATACTAGAACAAAAGCTATTTTTTAAACGTTGGAGAGGAGAGGGTGGGGGGCTTTTAAATATACTGTGTGGATCATGGCCCATGATATCCACTTTGGTGTACTAAGAAGGATCTCAGACTTGGGCTATTTCCAAATGAACGTTTTGCTCAGTGTTAGCTACTGCAGCACTGCTTTGGAAGCAATTGCATGATGTCATCCTTCATTGGTTCTGCCCACCACCACCACCACCAATTTCATTGTGATTGTTCATAAACCTGATTTGGTATGATCTTTTTTGAAAGATAAGTCAAAGCACCTTTGGCTGTCATTCCCCCAACATTCACACACACCAGAGGGTTTAATTAAAAAATGAGTTGCTAGAGTGATCTAGTGTTATCCTATATATGTATAATTCCCTTACATATTGGCCATTTCCAGCTCCATCAGCCATTGGCCCATCAACCGCCAATCAAGACTACTCGTGTGCCATTGGCTGGGGGCTGGGTCCGCTCCTCTCCCCTGCCAGCCTGGACACTCTTGTCTCACAGAATAAACTGCCAAATGGCTGTCTCTCCTGACGAAGACACTTCTCCTGCTTGGCTCCTGTGGGATTAACTTTTCCCTCAGTAGCTATTGCTAGGCAACCATGCTTGGTTCTGTCAGCAAAAAGGCAAAGGCAGGAGGACCTTTTCAGGCCTTTGTGGGGAACTCATTGGGGCCAGTCCTGACTAGGGTTGCCAATTCCATGTTGGTAAATTACTGGATATTCTGTGGTGGAGTCTATGGAAGCCAGAGTTTGGGAAGGGGAGAGGCCTCAGCTGAATAGAATGCCATAGAGCCCACCCTCCAAAGCAGTTATTTTCTCCGGGGGGGGGAGAGAACTGTTGTCTGGAGTTCAGTTGTGATACCTGGTGATCTTCAGGCTCCACCTGGAGGTTGGCTACCCTAGACATAGCAGTTAGCACTTCAGAGCTGGGTCTGAAGAGTGGGTGATTTTGGACCAGTCACAGACTTTCAGCCTACCCTCCCTCACAGGGTTATTGTGCAGATCAAAAGAATGAGAGGAGAATGATGTAAACTGCTTTGGTCTCCACTGTGGAGAAAGACTGTACTTTTCCTCCTGGGGAAGCATTGCTGCAAATCTCCAGGTGAGGGCTGGAGATCATTCAGAATTAAAACCACTCTTCTAATGGCAGAGATCAGCTCCCCTGGAAAAAACGGCTGCTTTGCAGGGTGGATTCTGTGTCATTATACCCTGCTGAGGTCGCTTCCCTCCTGCTTGGGTCCCCACTACAGAGAAAAACTAGTTTTCCTAGGTAGAGGCTACAGGGAGGGGGAAAGAGATGGAAACCTGAAGTCAGAGGGGCTGGTACGTTGATGGTTGCTTGGGAAGGAAATAGGGTTGCCACCTACGGGTTGGGAAATTCCTGGAGATTTGAGGGGTGGACCCTGGAGAGGGTGGGGTTTGAGGAGAGGTGAGACCCAGACACAACCAAAGCCATAGACTCCACCCTCCAAACCAGCCATTTCCTCCTGTAGAATCATTGTTGCCAATCTCCAGGGGAGGGCTGGAGATCACTCAGAATTACAACTGCTTTTCAGTTGGCAGAGATCAGTTCCCCTGGAGAAAATGGTAAACTCTGTTTCATTATACCCTGCTGAGGTCACCACAGCGAATTGACACTGAGTACCCAAGGCCAGGGCACCCACCCAGAGCCTCTTTCTAGAGCTCGTTGTATTTATTTCCACAATGGGCCGTATTCCTAGTAGTGTTATAATGGTCTACTACCACAACTTAATAGTTCTCAGCTTTCATTTTTTTAAGTATCTAACCCTTTTTATTTCAGAGTGATGAAGGGAAGGAGTA